ACAGAGGCCCTAGAATCAAGGGGTGGCCCTTGGCCTGGGCGAGGCGGGCAGCAGCCACTGCTGATGCTGAAATCCAGTTGCCAGGGCCCCGGATGGGGCTAGGGTTGCCAACTCTGGGTGGAGAAATGCCTGGAGGGTTTGGGGGGTGGAGCCCGGGACGGCAGGGCTTGGGAAGGGGGGGGGCTTAGCAGGCTACAAGGCAACCAAGTCCACACTCCAAAGCAGCCATTTTCTCCACGGGAACTGATCTCTGTCATCTGGCGATCAACTATATTAACGGGAGATCTCCAGGCCCCACCTGGAGGTTGGCAACACTTGATGGGGCGTGTTCAAGTGGTGGCAGGAGCTTTATTCCCTCCCCCCCTTGAGGAAGTGGGGCTCAGTTGGGCTCCACCAAGCTCAGGGCCTAGGGCAACTGTCCCTGCTGCCCATTGGCTAAGACCATCCTTTGGAGATTACGAATAGAAAACCAGATGTAGACACTCCTTCTTCCCACCATTGTTCCTCAAGAGTCTCCTTTTCTGTAAAACAGTGGCTGGATATTCTGCTGTGACGGAAAACAGACGGCCAGGCTTACCCTTGTAAAATGCCCTTTGAAAATATTGGCCTTGGATTTTTTCTTCTTTGACCAACAGCAAGGCATTCACATGGAGAATGTCTTACCTCATGTTCAAGAATAGCATCCTCCACAGCATTCACATAGCAACAAAAGACAATAAACACTGCCAGGAGTGACAAAGACAAGGTACATGTAGATGACTATGTGGGGAAGATATTTCACTACAGCTGCGATCAACGATTCCCTCCTTCCCCCAGACACAGAGCAGAACATGAAAGAAAGCAGGATTCCATTTAGTTACCAACCTGGCATCAGACCTAGGTTTGATGTTTCTCGGAGGGAGAACTGGTGCTTGCGTTGATGGGTGGGAAGGTGAAGGATGTGGTGGTGGTGGTGGTGGTGGTGGAGGTGGAGGTGTGGCAGAAATGGGTGGTGGGAGTGGAGACGGTAAAGGCACTGGATGGGATTCGTTGGAACCTAGGAGGAAAAAGCCACAAAGGAGAGCGACAATGAAGGTGACCATATTTAAAGAGAAGCCCTGGCCGATTCCTCACTCACATCGCGAACTTCACTCTTGTAATTTGAAGGGGAAACATACTTTCTAGGTAGTCTGCCTCTTTGGTCAGCCAGCAGTCTTGCCCCTTCTTCCATACGTGAGGCTGCCTTTCAAACTTACATATTTGAACGTCTAAGGCTGTGATCAGATGGTAGGCTTTGGCATGGTCTGTCCGCGCCTCTAATTTCTCCAGCGCTATTTGTTCTGGAGAAGTGTGGCCAGACATGCCACCCTATTCCTGCCTTACCCTGCGGTCGACCATTCAGACCACCACTGCACAGTCACCATGGAGAGGGTGGGCAGGCAGCTTCTTTTTTAAAAGAACAACAACTCTAATGTGTGCATGCGCATAACTGCTTATTTGCTAGGAGTAGATATGCAGTTATGCACACAAAACTAACTGGAAAAAAATGGTGGCAGGGGACCAGAAATGTCAGACCTCACAAAGTGGCTTAAGTGCACAAGGGAGAGATCAGACACCTGGAAATCCATGGTGAAACATGTTCAATTGTAAACACCAGACTTTATCCAGTGTTGGGAAAGTCAGGGGTGAGGACGGGGTGAGGACGGGGGGTGGGCAATGACTGAGGGATAGGAGGAAGATCTTGCTGTCTGATCGTGCACTTCAAATCCAGTAGGGAGCCGTCACGACATCAGAGCAAACTGCCCATCTGATCACAGCCTAAGTGAATCTGCAGTTAAGTTTCACTTAGTAGCTAGTTATGTTGAATCAGCTATTCTATTGTCTTTGCTAGTTTTACTTCCTGTGTCCTATACTTCATCATGAGATCAACCTTGTGTGACTCTTTCTAAGTTACACAATTAACAGCAAATCCCCCTCCTGTGCCTGATCTCCCTGAAATGCTTCTCTTGAGGGGACAGGAGACCCTCAGGAACAACATGAGAAGAAAACTGGGGGTCTGCAGCCAGAAAAGGGAATTGATAGAAAGTAAAGGGAATTGATAGAAAGCACAGCACACTTTAGGACCTGCGGTGGCTCAAGTGATTAAGATGCTGAACTGCAGGCTGTGAAAGGTCAGTAGTTCAGCAGTTCGAGACCCGGGTGCTGCATGACGGAGTGAGCTCCCGTCTCTAGTTCCAGCTCCTGCCAACCTAGCAGTTTGAAAGCAAGAAATTGCAAGTAGATAAATAGGTACCACTTCAGTGGCAAGGTAACAGCGTTCCGTGCACCTTGGTGTTTAGTCATGCTGGCCACATGACCACGGAAATGTCATCGGACAGTGCTGGCTCTTCGGCTTTGAAACGGAGATGAGCACCACAACCCTAGAGTCGGATTCGACTGGCTTTCAAGCAAGGGAACCTTTACCTTTACTTTATCTTTCGTCTTATTCAGTTGATGTGAGAATGCAGGTATTGAGTATTTAGTGCAGTTGTTTTTTCCCCTACAATCAAGTCACAACTGACGAATGGTGACCCAGTAGGGTTTTCAAGGTGAGGCATTCAGACGTGGTTTGTTATTACCTGCCTTTGCGTAGTAACCCTGGTATTCCTTGGTGACCTCCCATCCAAATGATTATCCAGCTTAGTATCTGAGATCTGATGATATCGGGCTAGCCTGGGCTATCCAGATCAGGGCTATTGCAGTTTAAATTCTGCTTTTTTCCCTCTGCATGTGAACTTTTAGAGAGAGGCTTGCTTATTTGGCAAAACCTTGCCCAATGGAAATTCTGGGGCATTTGAGAAGGTTCATGTTTGCAGATGAGTTTATAAAACAAAGAACCTCCACTGTTGCTTAAACCAACATCCACTTCCTTTTTTGTCTGCTTCTGACAGACGGTTGTTTTCTTCTCAGTTTCCCTGTCTTGCATGTATCTTAAGATACAAGCTGTGGAGAAGTGCCCTCCACAGCATTCACCCTAGAAATTCAAAGTTATGCTGATGGATCTGGCAGAAGTAAGAACAAAAGGTTTAATGTCTCACACCCTTGTTGCAATGTCACACCAAAATGGGACAGAGATTGGAAAAGCCAAAAGTCTAGCTAGTAATTTCTTCCTTTCAAAGCAGGAAGGCAGGATGACGCCAGAGAGGGACAGACTGCCAAGGGAAGATTATGAATTCACAAGACAACATGAGAAGGAACTTTCTATTCTCCTAGTTCATCTTTCTTGGATGGGCAAGAGCTGTGAAACACTAAGTCTTTACCCAGAGACTCCATATTGTCCACATGGCAAGGGACAATGGGGAGAAGTCCCAACTCTGTGAACTAAGGTACTTGTGTGTATGTTGTCATCTAGCCACTTCCATTTTATGGTTGTCCTATGAAATAATGTCCTCCAAGGTAAATAAGGAGTTTTAAATGCTGCAACTTCAAGGTAGTTTATTCTAATGAAACCTACTTTAGCATTTAAAGGATTGTGTGTTTTCACATTTTCCTTGTATCCTTGCTAAGTCTGATGTTTGAACAGACTGTGTGTACTCTTTTTATTTTTGTTTGTTAAACTTTCTTATGTTTTGACTGCTCAGAGCCTGGTCTCTGTACACACACCATGCCTATTTGGTCTTGCTATCCAAAAGGTGGTAAGGATTTCTGGGCAACGAGTGTGTTCACATCCCTTGAGCGCAATTGCTCCCAAGTGTGATAGTTCATCCCTGTACTAGATAGTACTAGTGATGTGGGAAATGTGGCAACTAGGGGGCCTTTAAACTGCAATGCAGATACTGAGTGGTAGCTGAACAAATCCATCTAGCAGAAGATACTGTCTCAGATTTGTTAGTGGTAGCGATTACTGCACAGTAAGAAGTTTG